CCGAGGGAGGAGACTGAGAAGAGGAGACTCGCTCTGCCTGCGGGGGGATATCTACTTTCTTAGCCACAGAAAACACAGAGTTGAACTCAGAGTCCCCCCATGCAGCAGCAGCAGCAGCAGCAGCAACAGCAGCAGGAGCAGCAGCAGCAACAGCAGCAGCAGCAGCAGCAGCAGCAAGGATTGCTGCACAGATTATGCTGCATATATAAAGACGTGGGAGCTGCATGGCGGTGACCCTAGCAGCGTTCCTCCTTCTACCCACCCAGCACCAGCAGCAGCACCAGCAGCAGCAGCACCAGCAGCAGCAGCAGCAGCAGCAGCAGGAGGAGGAGCAGCAGCAGCAGCAGCAGCAGCAGCTCGTTATCCTCTGCCTGCTCGCGGTGCTTCTGCTGAGTTTCTGCGGCAAAAGGCCGTCGCCCTTCGATCCCGGGATCGTCTCTTTGCTGCCGTCTCCCGCATACGGGCGGAGACAGAACACTGTCTCCTCAGCTTCCTTCAGGTTCACCTGCTGCTGCTGCTGCTGCTGCTGTTGCTGCTGCTGCTGCTGCTGCTGCTGATGGTGCTATTTCTGTTGCTGCTGGTGGTGCTCTTTCTGTTGCTGCTGCTGCTGCTGGTGCTGCTGCTGCTGCTGCTGCTGATGGTGCTCTTTCTGTTGCTGCTGCTGCTGATGGTGCTCTTTCTGTTGCTGTTGCTGCTGCTCTTTCTGTTGTTGCTGCTGATGCTGCTCTTTCTGTTGTTGCTGCTGCTGCTGCTGCAGTTGCTGCAGTTGCTGCTGTCTCCGTTTCTGCTGCTACATTATCTGTTTCTTTCGCTGCAGCTGCTGCTGTTGCTGTTGCTGCTGCTGTTGCTGCTTTTGGTGTTGTTAGTGTTGTTGCTGTTACTGCTGCTGCGGCTGCTGCTGCTGCTGCTGTTGTTTTCGTTATTGTTGTTGGTGTTTTTTCTTTCTGGTGCTGTTGGTGCTGTTCGTGTTGTTGCTGCTGCTGCTGCTGCTGTTACTGCCGTTGCTGTTGCTGCTGCTGCCGTTGGTTCTGCTGCTGCTGCTGTTGCTGCAGTCGCAGCTGCAAGAGAAACAGCAGCAACTCGATCTGCTTCCTTTATCTCCCTATCTTCTGCTTCTGCGTCTGCTTACCTTTCTGCTGCTACTGCTGTTGCCGCTGCTGCTGCTGCTGCTGCTGCTGTTGCTGCTGCTGCTGCTGCTGCTGCTGCTGCAGACGCAGCGTCATCTGTGTGAGTTTTGGATGCTTGAGGTTGAGGCTGCCTTCGTCAGCCGGCCGGCGCTGCTGCAGCTGGCGGGGGACTTGCTGCGGCATGTCTTGACCCGCGTGCCTGTGGCTTGTAAACAAGACTTTGCTTTTCTTGCTGCTCACCGCAGCAGCAGCAACAGCAGCAGCAGCAGCAGCAGCAGCAGCAGCAGAGGCAGCAGAAGCAGCAGCAGCAGCAGCAAAAACAGGAAGAAAACGCTCGAAAGGGACGCCCACGAGGACCTCATAGCTGCAGTAGTGAGGCTTGTTCTGCACTAATATCAGCAGCAGCAGCAGCAGCAGCAGCAGCAGCAGCAGCAGCAGACATAGCAGCAGCAGCAGCTACTGCTGCTGCTGCAGCAGACGTAGCAGTAGCAGCAGCAGCAGCAGCAGCAGCAGCAAGTGTGTGTGTTGCTGTCTCCTTTTGTGGTGTCTCCTCAGGCCTCTCAGCCGTTTGAAATTATAACATATGCTGAGGCGCTGCAGCAGCTGCGTGCTGCGGGGCTGTCTCCAGCCTGGGGAGATGACTTGGGTGCTGACGAGGAGAAGCTGCTGCTGCAGCAAGCAGCAAGCAGCAGCAGCAGCAGCAGCAGCAACAGCAGCAGCGGCGTGAGAGGGCTGGTCATTGTAGACCACCCGCAGAGCCTCAAGCCCTTCTACATGCGCGTAAACTCCAGCCGTGACAGCAGCAGCAGCAGCAGCAGCAGCAGCAGCAGCAACAGCAGCAGCAGCAGCAGCAGCAACAGCAGCAGCAGCAGCAACAGCAGCAACAGCAGCAGCAGCAGCAGCAGCAACAGCAGCAGCAGCAACAGCAGCAACAGCAGCAGCAGCAACAGCAGCAACAGCAGCAGCAACAGCAGCACGGTGGCTTCGTTTGATATTTTGCTGCCGACAGTTGGGGAGGTGGTTGGAGGGTCCTTAAGAGAAGAAAGGCTACACCTACTAGACAGGTACACCAGGCCTCTGTCTCCTCTCCTGTCTCCTGTCTCCTGTCTCCTCTGCTGTCTCCTGTCTCCTGTCTCCTCTGCTGTCTCCTGTCTCCTCTGCTGTCTCCTGTCTCCTCTGCTGTCTCCTGTCTCCTGTCTCCTCTGCTGTCTCCTGTCTCCTGTCTCCTCTGCTGTCTCCTGTCTCCTCTGCTGTCTCCTCTCCTGTCTCCTGTCTCCTCTCCTGTCTCCTGTCTCCTCTCCTGTCTCCTGTCTCCTCTCCTGTCTCCTTTCTCCTCTCCTGTCTCGTGTCTCCTCTCCTGTCTCGTGTCTCCTGTCTCCTCTGCTGTCTCTGTCTCTCTTGTCTCCTGTCACCTCTCCTGTCTCCTGTGCTGTCTCCTGTCTCCTTTGCTGTCTCCTTTGCTGTCTCCTGTCTCTGTCTCTCTTGTCTCTTGTCTCCTCTCCTGTCTCCTGTCTCCTCTGCTGTCTCCTGTCTCCTTCTGGCTCTGTCTCTCTTGTCTTTGTCTCCTCCTCTCTGTGTCTCTCTTGTCTCTTGTCTCCTTGTGTTGTTCTTTCTTTTTACTCTGTCTCCTTTGTCTCCTTTTTTATGTCTGCTGTCTGTCTCTGTCTCTTCTCTCTTTCCCTTCTCCTCTATCTCTGTCTCTCTCCTATCTGTTGCTGCTGCTGCTGCTGCTGCTTGTCTTGCTGCTGCTGTTGTTATCACTCTGCTGCTGCTTCTCTTCTTGTTGCTGCTGCAAGCACTTTATTTCCTACATATGTTGCTGTTGCTGCTGCTGTTTCTGCTTCTATTGCTGCTGCTCTTGTTTCACCTACTACTGCAACTGCTGCTGCTCCTCTTGCTGCTACTACTGCTCTTCCTCTTGCTGCTGCTGCTGCTGCTCCTCCTCCTCCTCCTCTTGCTGCTGCTGCTGCTGCTGCTGCTGCTGCTGCTGCTGCTGCTGCTGCAGGGCTATGGAGCTAAAGGGTATCTCCTCTACTGACTATAACTTGTATCGCTCTCTAAGACAGTTTGGGTCGCAGCCCCGGGGGGGGTTTGGGTTGGGGGTAGAGAGGTTGCTGCTGCTGCTGACGGGGCTCAGCAACATAAAGGAGACAGTCCCCTTTCCTAGATCACCTAGATATGCTCCTTTTTAATTAAATAAAAAACACAAAAACAGAAACAGAGACTGGTTTTGTCTTTGTCTCTGTCTCCTCTTTGTTTCTGTACCCTATTTGTTTTTATAAGAGAGAAAAAAGAAAAAGAAACGGAGACAGAGAAAAAAAAAAAAGAAATAAATAAACTCATACGTAGACAGTGTAGACAACAGACACCGAGACAGAGAGAGACAGAGACAAAAGAGAGACAAAGATAGAGACAGAGACAGAGGAGACACAGAGAAAGAGACAGAGAGAGAGAAAAAATAAAGAGAAACAAAGAGACAGAGACAGAGAAAAGAGAGAGAACAGAGAGAGAAGGAGACAAAAGACAAACAAAGGAGACACAGAAAGAAAAAAGGAGACAGCAGCAGACAAACTAAAAAAAAAAAAAAACAAAAAACAAAAAGAGGAGACTCTATCCCCTTTCTTTTTATTTATCATCATTTGCTGTTTATCTTTCTGTTGTCTCCTTATTAAACAAAGACAGTTATTTATTTATTTATTTTTATTTATTTTCATTTATTTTTATTTATTTTTATTTATTTTTATTTATTGTTGCTGCAGCACTCTGGCAGATTGCTGCTGTCTCTGTCTCCGTTTTTTACTGTTTGTTGGTGTCTCTGTTGCTGCTGTTCCTGTGTATGCTTCTGTTGTTGTAGCAGCAGCAGCAGCAACAGCAGCAGCAGTAGCAGCAGCAAGAGCAGCACCTGCAGCAGCAACAGCAGCAGAAGGGAGGCGGTTGAGTGTTAGTTTATTTGTCTGGTGTTTAGGGTTTAGGGTTTAGGGTTTAGGGTTTTGATTGTCTCCTATAGGAGGAGACAGAAAGCTTCTGCTGTTTTTTAGGGTTTAGGGTTTAGGGTTTAGGGTTTAGTCGTATATATATTATTTATATATAGTATATAAAATATAATTATATAATAATTTAAGTTTATATATAAAATAAAAAACATAATATATTTAATTATAAATAAGTATTTATAAATAAAATAAATAAATATAAATATAAATATAAATATAAATATAAATATAAATATAAATATAAATATAAATATAAATAAAAATATAAATATAAATATAAATATAAATATAAATATAAATATAAATATAAATATAAATATAAATATAAATACGCGTCAGCCGGGAGTCGAACCCGGGTCGCCTGCTTGGAAGGCAGGTATCCTAACCGTTGGACTACTAACGCGCTGGCGAGTTGTGCTTGCTGCTGCTGCTGCTGCTGCTGCTGCTGCTGTTGCTGCTGCTGCTGCTGCTGCTGCTGTTGTGTCTTGTTGTTATCTTTTCTATTGCTGTTGGTACTGTTGCTGCTGCTGCTGCTAGTGCTGCTGCTGCTGCGGTGCGGCTATTTTTTAGTGTTTTAATGCTGAAGTAAAGTGTTGGTGATAAATAAATAAATAAATAAATAAATAAATTATTTATTTATATATAATGAATAATATATTTTATTTATTTTCACTGCCTATACACAGGCGGCCTGCTCCCCCCCCAACCCTCTCTGCGTAACACCCCCCGGCGCGGCTGCGTGTAGGGGGACAGCACAGAGCTGCTGCTGCTGCTGTTGTTTTCTTTCTTTTGTTTTTGTTTTTTTTTTGTTTTGTTTGTTTCTTGTTTTACTAATTTGCTTGTCTCTGCACTGCGCTCTGTTGCTACTGCACACCGAGGGACTGGCAGAGGAGACCGAGCCGGTTGGGTGGGGCAGCGTGCTTGCTGCTGCAGCTGCAACAACAAATGCAGCAGCAGCAGCAGCAGCAGCAGCAGCAGCAGCA